GAACAGAGAGTTGGCAGCCATGTCACTCTGGCAGTGCCATGAAACAGCACCCCCCCACCCCAAAATAGAGCTCCTCTTCTGTGACCCTGCTATAGCTTTCTTTTCACAGTCTTTTAGGTTCTTTCTTCCAGGAAACTCTCTTCTCCTCATTTCCATGATGCTGTAATAGCCTACCTGTCATTGCATGTCAGTTCACTGAATCGTCTTCCTCTTCTTTGTTGTCTTTGTTTCCTCCTTCTACTCCCAATGCCCTTTACTTACTTTTTTATACTTCAGAGAAACTACTTTCTTGTAGCCACAAGAAATATTTGAATCTTTGAACCCATTTCAGGCTTGACTAACTCCCTCATCCTTTAAGACACAGCTCATGAGTCACCTCCTCCAGTAAACAGTCCCTGACAACCTTCCCCAGCTCTCAGATGCTTGCTGGGTAGCCCTCTCACTAGGGTCTGTGAGTATTTCTATTATTTCATGTGTACACTGTTTTTTGAAATTTTCATTTATATAACTGTGAGATTTTAAGGATGGTAACTATGTGGCCTAGCAATTTACCATGTCCAAAGTGGTACACAATAGGTGCCATAAAGGTTAGATAAATTGATTTTTAAAATCTCTAAGTGATACACTTTCCTTATTACCTGAGGTACTAAATTGTTAGTGTCTAAGCAGTGGCTGCCATACAGCAGGAACTTAGTGATATTTGTGAATAGTAAAATGTGTGTATGAATGGATTTCAAGCCTTTTCATAATCTGATTGCTTATAAATATGCATCCTTTACTCCAGTCAGGCTGGTTTCTCTTCTGTTCTTACTTCAGCTGCAACTCAGGTAGACCTTTAAGCCCTGCTAATTCCCATTTTCACATGGAATACTTAGCATTTTCTCCATAATTGTTAAGTACCATCCATCTAAAGTACCCACTCTGTAAGGCTTCCACTTGTAAAGATTTTTTTTTCTCCAATCTAGGCCAACATGTCCTAAAGCTCATTCCATAGAACAGTTTCTGCAAAATACTTACGTATGTTACATGGAAAATGAGTTCAGTAATTAAAGAGATGTTGAGAAATGCTGCATTAAATAATGCTAACTTATTTCCAAATTGCAAGACTTCTCTGAACCTTTATCTGCAAGTGTGCATTTTGAATCTGTAAGTGGAAGAAACCGTGTGCAGAACTTCCCAAACTTGTTTGTCCTCAGAACATTTTCCATGTTTAAAATATCTCAAGACAATGTTCCAGGGAAGATACTTTGGGAAGTACTGGTCTGTACTTTGATTGGGTTTATAGGTTGGCATGTAATTTGTGCATGCACACACATTCACACACATACACAACCACCATCAGGTTTATGTATGACACATGATACAGGTGTGTGCATCACACCATTTGGCTTCTCTACTTGTGTCTTATAATTTTGGATTCACATAATAGCTCACCTTCCACTGAAAACTGTAAGAACTTCTATTATTTGTTGATTGCTAAATCACTGTATACTATTATCATTAAGTAAATGTTACTGATATGTTTTCTAGGACCTTCTACCCCTCTTGCCTGGAACCATTGCTGGTGAAATAGAATCAAAGGCTGCAAACCTCAATAATTTGGTAGTGGAAGCCTATCAGGTAGGTATATATTGTACACAATTTTTTCAAATAAACTTTTAATTCCAATTCTTGTGGCAACATACAAACTAGTGCCGTCATCTTGATAGGAGCAGTGGACAGAAAATTAAATTAGGAATTAGGACCCTGTGTTTAGGCCTGGCTCTACAACTAACCAGCCATGGAACCTTGGGAAAGTCACTTCAGCTTTCTGTGGGTCACTGTATTTCCCTGACAGTAAATTCGGGTTGGGCTAAAGGCTATCTCAATTTCCTTCCAAATCAAATGTTCAGTGAACCACTGAATCATGGCTGTAAGAGATACTTTATTACTAAGAAATTTCATCATTTCCTATGTTGTGAAGATAAAGTAAAAAATCCATACTGTTACTTAAAGCAGCAACCTGTCAGGGACAAAGAACTATCTGAGATACAGGGATTAAGAGAACTCTAAAGGGGTCTCCTCGGTTAATCACTTGATCGTTCCACCAGTTATTTTAGCAGTTTTATCAAGCCAATTGGATTCAAACAATCACCTTAAGAGATATACTATTTTGTTGAGTTGACAACTGTATGCTGTCCCCAAGTCATTAAGAGTGAGTGCCAAGTGCAAAGATTTAAAGAAACATCTGATTTCTGAACCTAGGCCATTCCTGGACAGAATAATCTCTGTTAAAATCTTGTAATAATAGTGATTGTTACTTTAACACCACTAAGAACCAGTTACTTTCCATACCTGACCTCATTTAATCTGCACAACAAATGTATAAGGCAGGTGTTAGGACTCCCATTGTCTATTTTTCAAACCTTGGGAAAGTTAGGCAAATTAACCAAAAGTCAAACAGCTAATAAGCAACTGGAACAGAATCAGAATCCAGGTTTCCTTCAGGCACCAGGTGCTTCCCACTGTGTGATATCATCCATTTTTCTTTTCCATTTTTTTTTACAATGTTCAAAGAGAAGCTTTATTTTACCCTGAATTTATGGGTTATTGGTAAAGTCTCCCTTCCCAAAACTCTCTGATTCCCTTCCTGACACAGAACAGTTGAACAGTATAAACTGCAGCCCAAGCATTGTAAGAAACCTCAGGCTTCTTCTCATGGTCTCCATGCAGCTTCTGCCTTCAATACAGGTATTAAAGGGAAAGGCAGGAAGTAGATACATAACAGAAAGAAAATTAAGCACTTGTTTAAACTTTCTTCTTTGAAAAGGAAAATAAATCTTGTGAGATATTTTTCTCTTTTTGGCCAAGCAATTGTTCTTTGTCTGAAAACTGCCTTGGATGAAATAAGGAAGATCATCTTTAATTATGTTTTTTCTGTTACAAAGGAACATTAGGGCTAGGTGAGCTTCTGAGCAAGGAAAACCAAGTACGTGTGTACAATTTATTCCCATCCACAGTTTGTTCCCAAGAATAATAAAAATAGGGAAGGACCTTACAGTGTTAGAAATCACCCTAGTTTTTATAGCATGAGACCATTTATTACTCCAAACAAGGAATATAAGTTGACAAACTTGCCTGGGTGTCAGACTGTACCAACAGGAAGGGCAACGGCAGAGATTGGTTTCATGTTCTTTTTTTGTCTAGGACTATTATGTGATGCCTTAGCTAACTGCAGTTCTGGTTAACCTTAAACAATGGGGAAGTACTAGTAAATTCAACAAGAACTTAATCTAGTTAACTAATTTCCTTAAATTGGGATTCTGTAATTATTTTTAAATTCCTCTGAAGTTTGATATTATCTTCATAGACCAGCAGAAGCAATTCACAATTCATTGAAGAAAAAAATGAATGAAAATATTCATTCTAACTTTTCACATTTTGCATTTCCTTTTTAAGATTTTATAAAACTATATACAAATTGAGTACATGTGAATGTGATTAATTTTATTTTTTATTCTTTACATCAGCAGAAAAATAATTTGAATTAAAAAAAAGAATTACGCATCAGAAAAAACAGATTCTGCCTCTATACCTGTGAGATATGAAAAGAGAAACTTATGATTGTGTCTGTAACTAAATCCCAAAACAGGGCAAAATTTTAGGTATTTATCTTCACACCCTGCTTGGAGTAACTAGCTCAAGATTTTGAGAAGCAGAATTTCAGAAGAGCAAACTGAAAACACTCATAGGGATTTCCTTCTGATCTGTCAAACCATCAAAATATCAATACCATTTACATACTACTGGAAGTTTTGGTTTGATGAAATTGTTCAATTAAGTGATTAGAAAGCATGAGCTCTCTGCAAGATAAAAAAATGTGGCTGACATAGTCTTACCTAATCCAATAAAATTTATTAATTTAAGGAAATATATTGTTCTATAGATTTACTGCCATAATTCCATGATCAACTATTAATCAGTAAACACACACCTTTTCATCAATTATACAGTCTAAGAAATATTACTCAAGTGAAGAATTAGATGCCTTTGGAATTTATTTTTCTTTAAGTCTTGCTACTCTTGTTCCTTAGGTGTTTACTTCATCTCTTCTCTTTCTTTTGGTTTACAAATATAAGTTAAGGATTTCTGCATGTAATAGACTCTTAATTTTATGAGATGAAATACACACAGATCTACAGTATAAATTTAATGTTGCTAGAACTTCTGGAGCTCAAAGATTGTGATGGAAGAAATTAGTGTGTGCTTGATGCAAGATAGGCATTAATTACATAGATGTTTCAAAAAATTATTGTATAAATGAGTAAGTAAATGAGTGAATGATATTCTACCCAGTAAGGGCCCTATTTCAGTATTAAGGATTGGAAAAAATTTGACTGACAAGGGCAAGCTCCAAGACTTGGCAAAAATCCTAGGCCATTTTTGGAAATGTACAGGACCAAAACTGACAGGTAATTCTTAAATGCCTACAGTATAGAAATTGCCTCCCAAAAATGTAACTTTCAATTCTGTATCAATAAGCCATTTTAGCTTTCATGATAGACTAGTGTTTAAAATGGAAATGTTTTTTTAACAGTTGTAAATATCAGAAACATGTTCCAGATCTTAAACTGTCAGCATTTACTCTCTGTGATACATGTTTTCTCAATGTATTTTTTAAATTTTATCACAAAATATAAACATTATTGGATTAAAGAATGATTCATTTTGCAACAGTCTGAGTGAGAAGTATCTTTGAAGTGATCAAAATGCATAGTCATGGACATATATGGAAAAAATAGAGCCATTAAAATGCAGATAGTCTAATTATTCAGTATTTCTTAAGTATTTCAAATATAATTGGGCCATTATATGGAAACACTGTTTTTATAAATCCTTTAATAGAGACAGACTCTTTGATTTAGTTAAAAATTAAGTCTAGAATGATTTAATAAGCTTGACTATGTTTAGTTGCTTACATGAAACCACTAGTATACAATTAAAAAATGATGTCTCTGCAGAAACTCATTTCAGAAGTGAAAGTTCAGGTGGAAAACCATGTAAATGGTGTCTATTTTAACATCACTGCCACTTGTCCAGATGGGACCAGAAAGCCAGGCACAGACGGATGCAGAAATGTGACAAGCAATGACCAAGTATGTGGGTGTGCATTTTTTTCCCATTTAAAATAAACCAAATTGTTTGGTATGCTTTCTCACAGAAAAATCACACCATTGTGAAAAAACTTTACTTACTTCAAAGTAACTTTTATTGTCCCTTCTCAGAGTTCCTACTTGTTTTAACTTCATTGACTGTTCTTTCAAACTCTCAAGTTAAAATAAATAAATATATATTAAATACTTAAAAATGTAATAATAATAATATTAAAATTAGATGCCACAGACAGTATATATTAGGAAATCACATCTCAAACAAGTAGTGTCTATACTTATGATGACAATACATTTTTGTTTCAAATTTGAAAATTCTTAGAGGAAATATGAAATAGAAGGTAATAAGCCATAGATGGAACAGTTGATAAAGACTAAGAATTCCAAAATCTTTCACTTTGCGATTGTCCCAGTACACTTATAATGATCTGGGAAAATTTTTTGAGAACATTAAAAAAAAAAGTCTTATCATTTAACTAAAAAGGGATGAAATGTGGAAAAGAGAGGTCCAGATCATAGCAACATCAGGAAATAGAACCAGGGGAGATAGGATTGGCACAGTAGCGAGTAAGCACTTAGAAATACGCTTTTAAAGGGAATTCTTATTAGATGAAGTGATTTTCAGTGAGTCATTTACCTCTTAAGGCATCAGTTGCCTCATTTTTAAATGAATATCTTGGACTAGAAAATTTCTAATCCTTCTTCCTTCCATCTCTAAATTTCTATGATGTTATTAATTATATTAATGTTATGCTATAGAGAAAGAGAAAAGGAAAAAGAGCTATTGAAAGAGATAAAAGATCTTAAGATTTCGAATACTGAATAAAAAAGAATCTTCCTTTCTCTTTAGTCATAATACATTTTTCCCTCTTGGGAAGTTTAGAATCTGTAAGTAGAACAGTTGCTTCAACAAGCTCTATATTTGAAATTAGTTATTACTAGTTTCTAATTCTATAGCCTCTTCTCTTGGATTTTTTTCAAAAGACATCACATACCAGTTTATAAAATACATAGTTGATTCCCATTAAATACAGAGAAAACTTGGTGCTAGCAAAAGGTAGTGCTTCGTTACCTTCTGAGAAAGGATTACCCTCTTAGAAATACAGTTGTCACTTAAAAAACACAGGTGTTAGGGGAGCAAACACATATTCCCACTCCACGCAGTAGGAAATCATCATGTAATTTTTGACTTCAAAAATGTAACTACTACTTAACTACTAATAGCCCATTAGTTGACCACAAAAGAACCTTACCAATAACATCAACAGTTAATTAACACATATTTTGTATGTTATGTGTATTATATACTGTATTCTTACAATAAAGTAAGCTAGAGAGAAGAAAATGTTTACCTGCTGAAAATCTCAAAAAAATTGTTCCAATATATTTATTGAAAAAAAAATATTTGTATAAGTGGACCTGCACAGTTCAAAATCACATTCAAGGGTTAACTATAGTTCTTTCTTTCAAAATTGGTTTGGAAAAATGGTTTTCCTTACTTCTTACATTTTTTTTCTTTTTCTTGGTCTACATTCTCTTACTCCCCCCTCACTTTCAACTAACTAGTATAAACAGTTTGACTCTCGGGGAGAGTCATATGACCTATTAATTATATAAACCACAAGTTATGCTCTACTATTAATACTGGCAGTGACCACATTACCCTACACATCTGTTAATCCTTAACATTATTAAAGACAAAAAACATTACAACACTAATTGTATTGATTTTAATATTATGAGACTGATTCTAATTCCCAATGAATATATATAATACATAAACTTAAATTTAGATTTTTTTAGATCACTGAATATGTGTATGTGTGTGTATTTGTGTTAGGCTTTTTGTTGGGATGGATATATATACACACACACATAAATACATCCATATATATCATATACATCTGTTCATATACACATAGATCCATCCCACCTAAAAGCCTAAGCACAAATTATTTTTAAACTATCATGGATCTCAGACTAACATGGAAAAAGAACATATAGTCTTCTTATTTGCCAAAGTACTGAGATCATAAGGTCAGCTAACAAATATTAACCAATCATGTTGGGCAAAAAGGAAAAATTTGGCAAGAGAAATTCTCTAGTTTCATGAAGGACACCAGTTCCTGCCAGCCCAGATTCTTAGTTGCAGACTAAAATCTAAATCGACTAACACGGTATTGAGATCTTGAGGCCTGAGAGTCCTAAATCTTTTTCCCTTGAGTAACATCAGGGAAAACCTCATGTTTTCTTCCATTAACACCATGTATAAACTAAAATTTAACTCTGAACCTACATTTGAGCCCCTAGAAAATAGGAACAAAAAATATTGTTCCTTTGAACATTCCATCTTAGGATTTCAAACCAGTAGAGCAGAAACCCTTTACTTTAGTTTATTTGATTTATCCCTACTGCCAAAAATTTAATAACTCACATTTTAAGGACTGAACCCAGAAAATAGTCTATTCTCTCTAAAGTTTGCTAAGAAATCAATTGAAGACATAAATTAATCATCAAAAGTGGAGTAGACAGCTCGAATAGGCTTGAATCCATATCCATTTAATGGCGATTCATGAACAAGTAGCAGTCATTGAATCCTTTAATGCTCTAGTTCATTAAGAAATAAATGAAATTTAAAAGGGATGTTACATCTACATATGAAAGAGTGCATGTGTAATTTATAAATATCATTTATTTCTATAAAATGTTACATTATTGATTCAAAATATTATTAATAGATATAATATTATAGTAAAAATTAAATATTTTAATTGATAATCATGACACATATTTTCTTTCTCCCCAAATTTAGGTTCTTTTCAATATAACAGTTACAATGAAAAAATGTGATATCACAGGAAAAAGCTATGCAATAATCAAACCGATTGGTTTCAATGAAACCACTAAAATTCACATATACAAAAACTGCAGCTGTCAGTGTGATGGCAGCAGAGGACCTAACAGAAAGTGTGCAGATGAAACTTTCCTAGATGCCAATTGTTTCCAGTGTGATGAGAATAAATGCCACTTTGATGAAGATCAGTTTCCTTCTGAGAACTGCAAGTCACATAAGGATCAGCCTGTTTGCAGTGGTCGAGGAGTCTGTATTTGTGGGAAATGTTTATGTCACAAAATTAAGCTTGGAAAAGTGTATGGAAAATACTGTGAAAAGGATGACTTTTCTTGTCCATATCACCATGGAAATCTGTGTGCTGGTGAGTATAAACGTATACACACAGTTTTTACTAGTCACTGTTAAACTAGCATATATGTTAAAGTATCTTTAAATCACATTATAATTACCAATCTTAAATCTGAATCTAATATTCAAATTTCAAAATTTGTGAAATTAGAGCATAGCATATAATTCTGACATTTATATTTTAAATGATTTTGTACAAGGATACTTAAAAATAAAAACCAAAAATTAATTGTTATTCTCAATTATGCCCTGACCTTGTAAAGATAAATAGCAGAAAAGGAAATTACTGATATGTCTGACAAGTTTTCTATAATTAGAGTACTCTTCCCAAAGGATCTGATTCATTCTCATAAGCGGTCACTCCCTTCAGCTTGCTCAGAGAACAGTGAGCTATAAACACACACTTTTCATTCCCTGGAAAATTCTTAATACATTATTATAAATGGTATTGTAAATTTGTAGTAATTTAAGCCTCTCCAGTTTATTTTTGGAACAATGCCTGCAAACGAATTGTCAAAGGACAGCATTCCTCAAGAAAATACTGATTTCCTAAATAATCTAGATTAGGCCTAGAGGCCACACACAGACCAAATATTAAAATGAAATAATTTAAAACAAAAAGATCAGAAATACTTTTTTGACTTATTCAGTTTACTGCCACCTAGAGGCTAGATTTCAGAAAATCTACACATTTGAAAATTAATACATAATATTGTTTTTAAGTATATTAATTTTTCTGTGACAGTGTGCCAAGTACACTTATTGTTAAAACACCTTTTTAATGTTTGCATTTTCGTAAGCAAAAATTAATTAAGCTATTGATGAAATGAAATATTTCACATCACAAATCTATATAAAATAAATTTTCTATTCTCATGTAAACTAAAACTTGGCCCTGTGTCATATAAACATGTGATGGAAAACTGCCTTTTTTATCCTATTATATACACATAATATTTTATATTCCAAACCTTTATTCACCTGTACCTGGTGCCATGGGTAGAATGTATTATAGATGACCTTAGGAGAAACCAGCAATTGTCTCCTAATTTTTAGAGCTAATCCTTTTTCGGGACAGGTAAGAGAAGAGTTCTGAGATAATTTCCCACAGTTGTCAATCTCCCAAAGAAGTCTGAAATACACTGAGAATACCAGTCTCTGTTTATAGTAAAATATAAAAAAAAAAGTACTTGCCTTTCTATATTATTGTTATACCACTGACCCACAGGCAATTGAGAATATGTTTTGAATTGTTTGTGTCTAAGTTTTAAGTGAAAAACTGTAGGCTGACATGGACTTTCTTCACTGGATTCCTTTGAGAATAAAGACACATGTTCACAGGTCAGCTGGCTAGGATCAGGTACACAGCCTACATATGGGCAACAGGGTCTGGCAGGCATTTGTTTGGCTGGACCTCAGTAGTTCCATACTTAGCAAACTGAGCTGATCCAACAGTAGACTATGGAACAGCTACCCTGTGAGGCACCAGCGATAAAAGGAGGGAGAGAAGAAGACAGGAAGCAAGGGAAGGAGGGAAGGAATGAAGGGAGGGAAGGAATGAAGGGAGGGAAGCAAACGTCCTTAGCCAAAGCTTGAAAAATACTTTATCATCCTCTAAAATGTACTGCTTCTTGAAGATTTTTAATTCACATTAACATATTATACTTTGGATACTTCCTGCAGTCTAAAACCCATTTTACTACACATAATCAGTGCTTTTCCTCAACTTATTTGTCTGCACAAACATCCAACCCCAACACCCACACCCCAGTTTGCTTTCTTCCTCTACCACAGCTCACAGCATACTTTAGGACATGCCCCAGTAACCCGCTAAATAACGTCCTGAAGATGTGAAAGGATTAGTTCAAATTCCCCCGAGATCTTATCTTTAAACATGGCACTCTCAGAATTGAAGCACTAGAAAAGTTTGCCTCATGGACCTTCAAAGTTATCCCAGGCCATTAGCAATAGTGAGAGACTAAGAGAATAAACTATGGAAGCTATTAATCAAGTACCCCTGTTTTTTCGATTTCAAGTCAAACAATTAACATTACTTCAGCCTTTGTAGCTTCTTTATGTTCATGTGTTTTTAATTTAAAACTGAATATGCAGTGACCTTTAAGTCACAGGGCAGCCATTGCAGCAGAGCAGACTTTACAATTGTCGGCATAATAGATTAGCATCGGGAGAGTATCTGTAAGAGGACAGCTTTGAACATAGACATTCCTAAATCCTGGCATGCTTATGTCAAATAGAAAATGGTGCTGTTTCCATTCACTTGGTTGTCAATGCGTTTCCATGGATATGGGAGGGGAATTTATGTTTGGAAACTCTTCACAGAGTTGGTGTCCCCATAACTTAAGTCCTGGAGCGTCTTTGTTGCAGGGCATGGAGAGTGCGAAGCAGGCAGGTGCCAGTGCTTCCCTGACTGGGAAGGGGATCGGTGCCAGTGCCCATCAGCATCAGCCCAGCACTGTGTCAATCCAAAGGGCCAAGTGTGTAGTGGAAGAGGCACATGTGTATGTGGCAGGTGTGAGTGCACAGATCCCAGGAGCATCGGCCGCTTCTGTGAACATTGTCCCACGTGTCACACAGCCTGCACTGAAAACTGGTATGTGTTCTCTGACTCCAAACATACATAAAGCGGTCCTTCATTGTAGCGATGTTAATTCATTTTTATTTTGCCTTCCTTAATCTTAGAAGTTGTTGGATCGTCTTCAGATAAAGTGTTACTGTCATGCTAAAAGAGGACTTGAAGGGGGAATTTAGGAATTAGAAGACTTGGATTCCAATCTTTGGCCTCTACACAGCTGGAAACATCAGAATTTACCTAGGCAATTCACTGCCTTAGCTTTTCTTAAATAGGTTTTTTTTTAAAGAATAATATTCAGTGTTCATAAGGGTTCACCAGGGTCTTCTTCCCCAAGTTTATTGAGCTTTAATTGACATATAACCTGTGTTTAAGATGTACAGCATGATGACTGAGGTCTGCCTGCTTCTCAGCTTTCTATTAACTACTGTTTGATTTAGAACAAGTTGTTGAAATTCTCTGTGCCTTAGTTTCCTCATATTGAAAATGAGGATAACAACTAATACCTTGCTATAGTTCAGTGAAAGAATTAAATTAGATGATCGATGTTAAAAAAAACCCACACCTTTGTTCTTGGTGAATAGTAATCATAGAATAGATGTTAGCTGTTATTATAGTTGTATTTTTAATATGTTAAAGATGAAGAATGATGGTGGCTATGAAGCACACTAGAAATAAGTGATGATAAATGAAAGGCATTATGTCAAATGAAAGTGGCATTGCTTTGTGCCAATAATTTATTTTTCAATAACAATTTGAGTCCTGCTCAAAGCTACTCTAAACATTACTGTGCCTTCTAATTTGTTATATTCAAAATTTTTAAGATATCCACTTTCTCAGGTAGCTCATACATTTTTAGAAATTATACATAGTAATATATATAACTTACTTGGAAATGTAGTACTCAAACATATAACTGACTTATTTCTAATGAATCCAACCAAAATTTGAATTGTGTATTTCATTGCTAGACTTTCCTATCAATGTAGTATTCATCCTGTAAAACATTTTTGCTAGTTGGAGTATGTGTGTGTTGGGGGAAAGAGGGGTGCAGACAATGAGAATATCTTCATTTCCTAGAGATTTTCTTCTCAATACAGAAAAAATCATCATTTTGATTTCAAACATTATTGAAATATCTTAAATGGTTAGAATTTAACTTTGCTGTGGTAGTAAACTCAGCCCAGATTTAAATAAATGTCAGCTTTCTTTCCCAGTTTTACAAGGCTGCTGTCCTAAAACAGTACTCTATTTTATTATTTTATTTCTTGTAGAAAATACTATGAGCTACAGCCTTTTTAAAGATTAAATGTTTTCACTTCTGTTTCCCTTTACAGGAATTGTATACAATGCCTTCACCCTCACAACACGTCTCAAGCTATACTGGATCAGTGTAAAACCTCATGTGCTATCATGGAACAGCATTATTTGGACCAAACATCAGGTAAACCAAAGCTTAATAATCAAAACACTAAGGAGTAACTGTAGAGAATCACATTTCCCAAAAAGGCCCACAATCAGCCATCCTACAGAAATGCTTTCAATCTTCCAGAGGCAGTACTCTATACAACCAGCTAAGTATACTGGCCATGGTTTGGCTGAACTGCTAGATCCCCATTTCAACTACCCAGCTAAAATCCTATGCTGTATATCTCCATGGAAGTACTACACCAAATGGATATTTCAGAGAAGTCTCAGTGAGTCAAGAATAGGAGTTACCTATATAGAGTCCATTTTACCCATAGAGACAAGATCTATGCAGCCATAACAGATCTTCATAGCCCAAAGTTGCGTCCACTTATAATCTTCCTCATGTCAAACCAATATTTACTTTCATGTTTCAGGTGAAGCCAAAAAACTTGTAAGTAGCAATGATCTGCTTCTGCAAAATACATTACTTCAAAAGGGCCATTCCTTCCTCGTACTTTTAATTCTGACATAAACATAATTTAGGGACAAATGATTACAAAGATGGCACAATGGAAAGCTGTGTAATTCTTAGTCTGGAGACTGTGGCTTAAGGCATGTACCTTGACAGTAGTAACTAAAAAGTGCCAGCCCTTTTACAAAATTTCCCTAAGCCTCAGTTTCCTCATCTGTAAATGGAAATAATATTTACCTCAAAGAGCTGTGTGAGATTAAATAAGCCAGTCAACATGAAAGAAATTATGTAAATTAAAAGATGACACATGCATGGGAGAAACATGTGAAAGCTGTGTTTAAAGATAACTTTTATACAAAAGATCATTATAAACCAAAAGCCAGGACCCTACCCTGCTCAGGTACAAGTGTTAAAGTATGCATGAATTAGAAATTATGCTTGGAATTATGTCTTCATTCAAAACAATTCTACTGCTACTATTATTTCTAGTCTCTCCTCCAAATTGTAAGAACAATTCCAGCTCTTGGAGAACAAAACTGTACAGGAGAATAAACTCTCTCCACTGTTTTGTTTCTTTCTTCCCTCATATCCACACTGATCTTAGCCAATAATGAATTTGGCTTTGAAAAGAGTGCATGCGCTGCCAGCTGGGTCTGCAGCAGTCACTCCAGAAAGGCAAGTCCCTTTTCTAATAAATAGAGCCCTTACTGTCAACATGTCATTTATTATGTTAAGTAAACAAACCCACTCTGACCTAAATGTGATTACAAGAAAGTATTCCCTTAAAGCTCCTTAGGAAAAGCCCTTACTTGACCTAAACTAAGGAAGGAGTCATTGCCAGGGCTAAATGTTTGTCTATCCAAAATGGCATTTTTAAATGCAGGAGATTTGAGCCTTGGAAACATCCTCAACCCTAATCCATTACAAAATGAAATATCTGTAAAATGTAGCTAGGGGGCTCCCCTTTCCTTCACAATTATTGTGCAAGGAGAGGAAAAGGGCATTTGCTCACCACATCTATTATCTATCCCTTCAATCACACCTAAAGGGTGGTGTCTTGGTCTTTCTGGCTAAGCTCCTATGAGGCCAGAAGCCACTAAGTGGCATCAAGCCACATGACCCCTTAGAGGATCTGCCTTAGCTGACTGAGTAGTTCTGAGTTAGCCGAGGGAAACAACAGTCTGTCAGGATGAAAGGCATGCATGTCACCAACCTGAAGGGCACGGTGGAAGACTCCAAGGGCACTGCCTTTGAATACGGCATCTTGGATTCTGTGTGGGAGACCTGTAACAAAGAGAAATTTGCACTTGCACTTGGTGTTTCTATTCCAATTAGTAGTCCTCTAGCCTCCCTTTGGCCTTTCTTTCAAGGAACCTCATCATTTTCCAAAAGAAAACTGGGCTGTAAGTCTTCCAACTTGGAGCCTTTCCCTTGTTACTGAGTTCTTCGCTTATACAAGAGCATGCTTGGTCATCCCTGGGAATTCAGACACAACTGACTTAGAACTACTAGCTCTTCTAAGCCGTGGTGGGTCACCTCCTTAAAAGACCTCTCGGGGATACCTTTAGCAATTTAGGTGAAGTCCCCAAAGTCTGGAAAAGGGGAGGAAAGCACATGCGTCTTTAGGCCAGGAGGTAATTTTGTGAATCTTGGAAAGCTGGTGAGTTCTATGGAATACTTCCATGTTATGCAACCATGCTCCTCTTTGATTAGGGTAATATCTCTGCCAAAGGTCTGATCCTAAAACAGAGACCTAGTATGCCCATACTCTTAATACATTTCCTTTACCAGCTAGTAATTATTTCTTCTTGAAAAAATACACAGATTTGCTTAACAAGCAAGTAAACAGTAAATTAATACAAATGAGGAAATATATTTGCATATTGTCCCAAATTAGACATTCCTATTCCCTGGAGAAGCCATTTAATAATAATGAAACTTATTCAAATATAATGAAACAATTTCAAAAAAGAACATATTTATTCATCCATGAGAGTAGTACTGATTTTAGCTTCTGCAGATGTTTGCTTTATTTTCCATTACTGGTGTGCAACAAATGAACAGCAAGCATAAAAAGAAAAACATACGTTAATGCACAGAGTTGTTAAATAATGTTTTAAACCCATTTTCCACTTAGTGATCAACAGTACATACCACAACAATTGTCCCTTACTCTGTCATAGATAAAATTCTATTTGGTTAAGGGATTTGGATGTACTCCAGTTACTACAATTAAAGCTGCCAAGAAATGATCTTATTGACTACTTTAATTGTGGCTATTCTCCAATAGAGAGCTTTCTGCTAAAAATATTTTAATAATAAATGTGTAATAAAAATTAGTTTGCTTTTTGAATCAACAGTAATGGCATCTGTAGTTCTATTAATTGAGATGTTTACTTGTTAGAATCCTTTGACTTATTCATTCCAGTTTTTAAATCCATTTATTTGTTTGCTTCATTACAGAATGCTTCTCTAGCCCAAGCTACTTGAGAATATTTTTCATCATCTTCATAGTTACATTCTTGATTGGGTTGCTTAAAGTCCTTATTATCAGACAGGTGATACTACAATGGAATAGTAATAAAATTAAGTCCTCTGCAGATTACAGGGTGTCAGCCTCAAAAAAGGTTAGTGAATTCTAAAAAAGAATTACTATCAGTACTTCATTGTCTACTTCCAACATTTAGGCCCTTAACTCATGACAATATTTCTTCTCAATAAAGGACAAGTTGATTCTGCAAAGTGTTTGCACAAGAGCAGTAACGTATCGACGTGAGAAACCTGAAGAAATAAAAATGGATATCAGCAAATTAAATGCTCATGAAACTTTCAGGTGCAACTTCTAAAAAGATAAAAAGTACTGAATGGGAAACTGGATTTTTAATAATTGCTCCTAAAAATTGTAATTTTAGAAGTCACAGGAGGAGACAAATTATTCTAAATCACACCAGTTACTGGTTGTCCTCAAAGACTGACAAGCATCCTCATCATAATGTGACTCATATTGCTGCTGAAATTTTCAGAGAAAAATGTGTCTTACTACTGTTTGAGACTAGTGTCATTGTAGCACTTTACTGTAATATATAACTTATTTAGATCAGCATAGAATGTAGATCATCTGAAGAGCACTGATTACACTTTACAGGTACCTGCCATTCCTATACTTCCCAGAGAGAAACAATGCTGTGACATCGTTTTGGCATTGTGTCACTACAAGGGGACAGTAAGCCCTGCACCTATGAACATGCAGATGAAAAAAATAAGACAGTTTAATGTTGCCAAACACTTCAACAACTGGCAATGAATAGGGAAGAACAGCTAAACAAATAAATGGTTGGTGTTTCATTCATTCAAGAGGTGAACAGACAAAATCTTAATACTGAGGGATATTGCTTCTGAAACTGTACTTTTATGCATGTGTTTTATGTTTTCTTCTTTTTACAAGATGGATACTAATTCCAACATTCTCTCCTCTTTGCCCTTCCTTATATTTTGGTTTTCTTTCTTACAGGATAAGTTTATGTATGTCACAGATGACTGGATTAAATAAGTGCTAAGTTACTACTGCCATAAAAACCTAATAATACAATGTCACTTTATTAGAATTAGTCCAAAAGCTGAATGCTTAATAAGGGACACTGTAGAGTAAAATCAAAACCTGGACGGCTTCTTTGGAGTTTTATATCTTCTTGCCTGGTAAACTGGATGGATTTGTTTCATTATTTCATCTAACCATCAGGTTGAAGTTCACAAGATATTTAGAAACTCTGCCTTAAGTAAAATGTCACACTTTTCAGTTTTCTCAGATATTTACTCTAAGTAGATGTTAGCACTGTTCAAATTAAAAGCTATGTTAAGCTATATTATTTTTGCCCTTCAATGCAGCCTAAGGACATTCTTTCTCTGAATCACCTCTACCCCACTCACTAAAATTCTAAAAATATACAATTAGAAGAGGACAGACAATATTTTGGAAATAAGCTAATTCACATTTTTAGTCAGTCAGGGAACCAAGGCTCAGAAAGTTTAAATGCTTTCTTTAAAATCACCCAAGTGATTAAGTGGCAGCATTTGAAAAGAACTTGTATCTTCTTCTCAGGCCAGTGTCCATCACACAATATCATGCTACCTCTTAAATCTTTAAAATATTCAATTAGGAAGTATTTTTTTAAATGTGATTTACTGAACTCGTAAGTATTCAGGCATAAGAGAATTTCAAAGCAAAGCAGAAAACAGTAATTTGAACTCACTGTTCATGATTGGCTTCTAAGAAACTACAGCACTGCCTAACTGCAGGAAAATCCATTCACATGTAGCCTTTGTGAATAGCACCCCCTGGAGTTGTTCAGGGCTTGGCACAAGAGCTTGATACAGAGGCCATGAGCTTTCATCACCTCCAGTGGAAACTTCTTCACAATTACCATATTCCTACAGACTTATTCAGTCTGATTTTATTGGCTGCAAGACCACTGGTCCTATATATAGTACATAGTTTTGCCTATGACAACAGAGGAATTAATTTAAAATGTCTTATAAATTAACTTCCCAGATTTTGTCTTCCAGCACTTGATTTAATAAAAATGCCAGGTATCTGCATTTCAATGAATACTAGCCACTACCCCATATTCTACTCTAAAGAGGATTTAAGAACATATACAGTTGATCTTTGAACAACACAGAGGCTAGAGGCACTAACCCCTATGCAGTCAAAATTATAACTTTTGACCCTCCCAAAACTACAAATGGCCTGTTATTGACCTTACTGACAACACAGTTGATTAACACATCTTTTATATGTTATATGTGTTATATATTGTATTCTCGAATAAAATAAGCTACAGAAAATGTGTTATCAAATTGTTGCAAATCTCAAAAAATTTTCCAGTATATTTATTGAAAAAAACTTATGTATAAGTGGGCCCCTGCAGTTCAAACCCATGTCGTTCAAGGGTCAACTGTAGTAAGTTGTTCCGGAGACAACAAACACAGCAGCTCCATTAGCCGTCCTTTACAGCCAAGCAATTATGACGCTAAGTTGAACTGTATTTCCTTTCTCAAATGAGAGACTGGGGACACTGACCTAATTCAGTACTGTGACTTACTTGTATAAGATACCTTTGATTACTAAGAATAATGTAAACATTGTATTTTGCAGCTGCCTGTCACACACAACAGCCTTTTTTAAAAGCAAGTGGAAACCTGACAGCCCCCCAAAAGGAGAAAAAAACACAAAAAAATCCATTCATTAAAATGCTGACCATTTAAAAACTGAACATTACGATGTTCATATATAATGAAACCCTTCAAAATCAAGGTTTTATATTTTCAAACTTCACTGTTTTGCACTGATTTATATTGGACCAAGGCTGTTAACACAGGAAGGAACAACCTTCCTGAGAGGCAATTCAATACTAAATGATGATTGTAGTTATGCTTGTGATGGCTTATGCTTTCATTTTTTTAAACTAAAGATCTAATTCTTTAAGATTTTAAAGTTTATATTTTACTTGAATAATTGATATTTTCCTGTAAAATGGCTTATGTGAAAATAATATCTGACTAGATAGAATTAAAAGGTAAGGGAAAACAGGGTATTCTTAGATTAATTTATGTAAATAGAGTCTATTTTCAACTAATATGACTACAAGAGCCTTTTGAGATTCAATGGTAGTAATCAAGTAATGAAATTTTAAATGGTTAACAAAGTTAAGAACTTGAACACTTTTGGTACGACCACATTTCTGTGTGCTACAGTATGTAACGAGTTAGAAGTGTGTCATACATACACTACAACTGTACACATTTTATTTCTGTGGGGACATCTTTACACTGCAGTGTACGTGGATTTAAGCATTTGTTATCTTTTTTGGAAATTTATTAATATTTATGAAGTTACAGACATTCTCGGCAAGACTCATTAAAAATCTGTCTTAAATGTTTAATTTTGCTTTGGTTTATAAAGATTAATATTTTCTAAACAGAATAGATTTCTCTGAAGGCAAATTTTTCAACACTCAAAATTCAAATTAGTGGATGCATTAAATGCAACACTTAACTAAAGAATAAATTACAAATTTTTTTAAATATATACCTAATCTTCATAGAAAATATTGTTATGCATGACAACAGGCATCCATGAGACACTGAAATATGATTATAATTGACTATGAAAATATTTCTCCATAGAATTATATTTCTCCAGGTGCCTGGTATAGTAAATTAGACTCAGTAGCTTTTCTTTACTTTCCTTACTCATTTTTCTCACTAACTTTTCCTAAAATATTGCCATAAAACCTCAAGCTCAAAAAGTAATTGTGAGAAATAACTGCATAAAATGGCATAATGTAGTCCTTACTGATTTTAAAAACTTATTTGGATCTATGTACCTGAACCAAGACAGAGCCATTAAAAACTAAGAATTTTAAATTTTCACAACTGTTCATTCAGTTCTAAAGGATTTTAGATCTATATATTTTAATAAAAGTACCAAGTGAAATATAGCTATGTGGGGGTTCAGTCATGTATATACTGTTTTCTGTATTATTTACTTTTGACATTCATAACTAGCCTATTTATATAGACTTTAAGAACTCCATTTTATGCTAAGCAAAATGAGGTATATTTTCAAAGAAAAATACACCAGCATTTTTTCAGATCATTGCCCTTTTCTAATTCCTCTATGGCAAATTTATTATGGGTAACTGATTACACATATTCATATTTCACTGATTTTAAGACATCTGCTTTTTCAATTTAAAATCTTTGAAACTGTGATGTATCTTGTAATTGTTGGCATCATAGATCCAGGGTTTAAAATTGTACTTGAATAAATATTACACTAATTCATCTTTAAATATTTATGGGTATAGGGACATTACTTTTCTTGGAAGTATTTGAAAACCCATTTATGACAACATAATTTTCAGTATAATTGAATCACATACAACTCAACATAGAGCCTGAGCTCAGATCCTGTAGACCTTTCGATTATAAAACCTCTTTGAACTTCTTGCGTATACATTATACTAGTGGCTATGTTTCAGCAAATCTAACTTAACTGACAGGAATGGGTGGGTTTCTCTCAGTTTTGCTAACAAATTTTTATTATTTCTATTCCTTTCTAAAAAAATACTTCATATGATCATCTCACTTTTACACAAAATTAACTGGAAAATATTACATGAAACCACTATAATTAGATTTTGCAGCATCTTGTATGTCTTATGTCAATGACAGGAGAAAACTATGATACATCCTATCCGTGCTTTGGAAAAAAACTTTCAAGTCCTTCTACTTCTTTGTTTGTCTTTATATTTCTGTTCATTTATTTGATTTTTTTTCTTTGGCTCTGATAAACTTGCCCTATGTAATGACTGCCATAAAACTGCATATTTAAATTATTTGAAATATATGAAACAATTGTTCAGCTATCTGGGCAGCTGTTAATGAAATACTTGAGAGTAATAACACTACTCTTTTATCTACCTGGAATACTTTCCTGCATAAAATTTCTCTTTGTAAGCTAACTCTATTAGTCAGGTTTCTAACCTCTACAACCTACTTTAGTTGAAATTTTCTAACCTGACAATATCAAAAAACAAAAACACTGCAGTCATAAAAGATGGAAAATGTGTGATTTGTATAAAGAAACTTTACTAACTTTACACTGTACCATAGATAAATGTGATTTTGATAAGAAATCCCCACAATGACAAGTATGGTACATAGATTTTATTTAGAATATTGAAGTATAAAATATTTTAATTCTAAATTATAAGAAAATACAAATTTGCACATATTAATATAGAAGTTCATTTTGTGTATATTTAACATAACCTTAAAACTATTTTCCATTTACCAGTTACTCATTAAAGTTTTTTAAACCTCTGCAAAAAAAATTTTAGAAGTGTTTTTAAATTATCAGTAACATAACCTTATTTGTATCATTTAACAAGTCCTGACTTTGTTTAAAAAAATTTAATACAGAGTGTATTTTTAAATTAAAATATTTGAATATAAAATAGCTCTAAGAAATAATTTTTATTAAACAAGTTTCTTATTATTTCTGGCTTTGAATTATACATGAAGTTAAATTTCCCTAAGTGACAGGAGATTGGGGAATGTGGCAATTTCACATAATATACTATGAACCTGTTCATATAATTCTGATTGACTACTAACTTCTGTTTTATGTATTTATTAAAGATCTGACACTGTAGTTTGTTGTGAGATGTTTATTTTTCTAACAGAGCTTATAACAGTTATGACAAGGCATTTACTTAATGCATCATTCTGTTTAAAGGTAGTTGTTAATCAGTATGAAATTTTATGTTTTAAATAAAAATGTAAAGATCTAAGAATGCACAGAATGCTTCTTTATTTACCATTATGTGCTACATAACATATGATCCAAGAGCTGCCAGATGATAGCACATGGTCACAGGAGGAAATGTAATAACATCCATACCCATACATTGTTATTGGTAGAGGACATTACAGGATTCCAAAATGCTACTACTTCTAGAAAATCATACAGCCAATGATAAAGATGTGGAGACATGATAACTGCTCTATTTCTCTTTTGATAGCTGCCCAACAGTGGAAGCATAAGAAAGATCCTAATTATTAAGAGTTGAAAAACTATCTAAAAGATAAATCAGGCTTTTACTACCAGCCAAAAATTTCTACCAACACTTATTAGATACAAATGTAACATATTCTCAAACTTCTCTGCACATATTTAAACAACTGAAATTTATGGAATGCACTTGAGTTGTGATTTTTCTTTCTTTAACTTTGGAAAGAGAGTAAAGAAGATGAGGGGACATATTAACAAGTAGACCAATTCCCTGTCCTTAAGGTATTTTAATATTTTGAAGGAAAAAATATGTGTAGTACACCTATAGGTAGAAGTGTTGCACAGCAGAAATTAGATAGAAGCTATCAGGAGTTCTCACAAGGCCTTTATTTTTGAAAATTCATCCCAGTTGGATTTGGGCTGCAGTCTTTTAGGCTTAGGATCTTTTTCTGTGTTGTTTGGCCCTAGTCCTTCCTTCCCACTCTAGCGATAGGATCCACCCCCTGAGTTTTGCTGGTGCGCACAGCTGAGACTTTACTATTCAGATTATTTTGCAGCTAAATGTGGTTATAGGACTGAATGTTGGCCAGTGGGACGGGAGAGGAAATAATACATACAACTCCCAGATCTCATGTCCTCTGTCTCTCGTTTGGGACAAGTGGAGTAGCTTGGCGAAATAAGCCCTGTTCTGAAATTGACAGTGTTTCCTCTTCAGCCATCAACTAACTGTTCACCTCAAGACTGATCGCTGGTAGCAAAACAATTATTTTAGCTAAATCACTGCATTCTATACTCTAGAACTAATGATATATTCTTCATGTAATTGTCTCATTGAATTCTCAACAATACTAACTACAATTGGCCTAAGTTTTTCAAATAGGGAAAAAAAAGGCACAGAGAGGTTAAGGACCTTGTATAAACTCATGCAGCCAGTTAAGTGGCCAAGGTGGATCTCTTTCTCCTCATAAATGACTGATCACATGTTTTCTGAGGATAGATTTTACTAGTGTAACTATTTCCCCATGCTTCAGAAAACATGTACAATAAAATAAAGTTGGGAAGCTAATATATGTACACAAATACTACCCACCCAGGAAGAAGAGAACAGGACTTAAAAAACAAAATGCTAAGTGTATTCAGATGCTGTCGTTAGATAAGAGTCCATGAATGATAGCATTTGGCCTAGGCCTTGGAGGAAAGGTGAGTGTGGACATGCAGAAAGGCAAGCTCAGGGAAACAGCTAGGGGAATGTTGAAGCAGAAAGAGTGGGGATCCACCCAAGGACATTGAAATCTTGTTGAAATGCACCATTGGATAATGAAAGGAAATAAAGTAAAGGTCCTAGGTTATGGACAACTGGATTTCCAGGCTAAGAAGTTTGAACTTTAGTTACTAGGAAAAAGCAAGCCCTGAAGTTTTTGCACAGAAATGTGGTATTGTTGGAATTATACATATTTTGGCATATAGTTGCATAAGCTAAATATAATTTTTTAATTAAACATTAATTTTATGCCCTCTTAAAATAATATTTACACCCAAATTTAAATGAAATGTAAATGTTATTTAATACTATTAAAAATTTATGCTGTTAAATGCTATTTATACTAAGTTTAAATACCATTTAGTACTAGTGTAAAATAGCTGGAACTATACAGAAGCAGGAAAAAAACTCAAAATCCAACTTCCTAATAGAAATCAGTTTCACATGTAGGCATATTTTCAACTTATTTTTCTATGTACTTTATAACCTTTATTGGGCAGTTAATGCATATTTATTGTAAAACACCCAAAAATATGTATACATTAACATTTAAAAAAATACTACTCCACTCAAACCACCAACAGTTGCTATACATATATACATATATACATATATATATATATATATATATATATATAAAACCTATACTTGCTTATAACCAAGAAAGAAATATGTTAGAAACAGTCCACTTTTTTCTTTAAAAACATTTCAAACATTTTTCCATGTCAATCTTTAAATAAATGTTTTAATAGATGGATATTATCCCATCTTTGAATGAGCCATAATCATAACTCCTAGATTCACTGAGCAAAGAAGGAGCAGGATATGATACAATATATAAAACACTGGTAACAACTTCAGAATTCAACTAGAGGAGATTGGTTAAATAAATTATATTTGCATGGTAGAGATATATATTTATAAAGGCAAGGGAGAAGAAGCCAATGTAGAGAGAAATATTTATGTTAGGAAGGCTTGGATTGAAGTAAGGTATGATAAGGGAGCATTTCAAATGTGACAAAGAGGAGTCAGTGAAATGAGCTTAGATGATTTTTTTTTTTTTCTAAAATCACCCTCATTTTTATTAGAAGCAACCAGGTCAAGAAAATAGTTAACACTTGGCTTAATTATTTGCATAAGTGCAGAAAGAAGAGCAATTGATTACATGGGCTCTTTTAAATGTGCTTTGCTGGAACTTTTTGTAAGGAATTTCAGATTGAACTTTTAAAGCCTCTGGAGGCCAGAAAGCCAAGCTAGACTTGCCATCACGTTGTGCCTGCAGTCCCAGGTTTTTGCACCAAATGTTAAGATAAATTCTACCCGAAATAAGCAGGCAAAGAGAGGCAACAAAGGGCCAGGTAANTCAGTCTCCAATCTTCTGAAGCATAACGAACAAGTTCTTACATGGTGAACGAATTCTTACATAGTGAATAAATTCTTACATGGTGAACAGTACAAGGGCATTCATCACAGAAACTTTCGGTTTTGATCATGCAATATGACCTATAAACCATCAGGTCAAATATGAATATTCATTTGATTTTTGTACTTGATTTATATGTTGATCCCACATTTCTCCTATTATTATTATTATTTTTATTTTTAATAAAATGCTGAAGTGGTAGGTAGATGCAAGATAAAGGTAGAAAACATAGTTTAGTGCTGTAAGAAGGCAAATGTAGATGATCAGATGATCAGGTGTGTGCCTATGGACTAAGTATTAATCCAGGCTAGACAAGGGCAGCAAGACATCCACGGATGCAGAAGATTTCTCTCAAGAGCTTAGATGATTTTTATAAGGAAGTAAAGATCTAGACAAAAAGGAGGAAATGAGCTATTGCATGCATGACTTGAGGGAAGTTGGGGACAGGCTAGGTACAGGTGATAAGGTAATTATAATTCGACAGGAATTATAATGACAACTCTGAAAGTCAGTAGGTACTGCTATCCAAATTGGATGAAACTCCCAACTTGGTCTACTAAACAACATGGTTCTTGCCAATCCATAACTTCTAGATTAAATTCTAACTTCATCAAAATATTTAAGAAGGGAAAACTAAAGCTGTAAACCATAAAATGATCATCCTTTCAATATTATCAAAATAAGCCTAACTGCAAGATAAGCAGTACCTCCTTTTAATCTAGTTACTTATATATGCATATTTTGATAATAATCAGAAGCAGTAGAAGGCTGCACGAGAAAAACAAATGGCATCTTGGCTTTCAACTGGGCAATACTTCAGCACTTATTTGGACTGGTGCAATATTCAGCACTTCGAGCCTGGTGCTGTTTAGACTTCTTCCAGTGCATTGCTGCAAGGTCTAAAAAAAATTCTCCGACTATAGTGGTGAGAAGAAAACACTTTCTTTAATGGGCTTTGTCATATTCTGCTGTTTTCCATTGTTAATGACTACAATACATTCCAGCCATCATTAAAGGAATGAGAGGTGATTGTATACACTTAAGAAAATCTTAATTTGCTATTAACAACAATTTTTAAATATTTTCCCTATTAAATTCAGGAAATCTATACATCCATGGTTCTCAAAGGAGTAGTCCCTAAACTAGCAGCACATCAGTGTCCTATGAAAATGAGTCAGAAACTCTAGGAAAAGGGCCAAGAGACCAGTGTTTAACAAGCTCTCCAATTCTGATGCCTGCCAAAGTTTGAGGAGCATTTCCATAAAGACTAAAAACTAGTATCAGAAGACCATAAGCTAGTTGTAGGTTATGCATACTGGCTAGTACCTAATACTCAATGCTCAGTACAGGTACTCAATAAATAATTGTTGAGACAATCAATAGTGTTTTTTCTCTGACTCTTCAGACATGTCACTGAACAAAACTTGTCATTTTTTACAGTTAAGTCAAAGTAATAAAATTGCAAGTTGTTTAAAAAGATAAGGTTGACTTCAATTATGTTTTATAACAAAATTAACATCTCCAGTGTATGAGAGGCCTATATTAAATATTTTTATTATCTACAACCAGTTCTCATTTTTTTCTGTCACTGAAACCTTCTCTGTTCTTCCCCAAAGCTAAATGCATTGTTTGTGTACGTGAAACAGTGGAGGATCTCTAGTACTGCCCTAATCAATAGGGAAATTCCTAATATGGTCCGTGGAGTTCCCTCTGTGGAAGACTAAATCTCTTCACATTCACACTCTCATCACCACCAAGTATACAACCTCTCTGCCCCTCTGTTCAGAGACACAAGTGTCCAGGTCTGTTGGTTGTCTTCAGGGAATACAAGGCAGCCACACCAAGGACAGCTGGGCACAGCATCTCTTCCATTCCACTCCCTGGTCACTGGTGGAAAACCCATCTGCTCTTACTTTGAGGAATCACATTTGTTTACTCTTCTCTGAAGTCTATACCCATTTCTCCCTTGGTCCAGATCCAGTTCTATTTTGTCTTAAAAAAAAGAAAGCATCTCTTTATGCATGCATTCAAATTTAGTCCACTAAATTTTGTGCTTTTTTGGTACTATTTCTGCTTTAGTGTGAGCTTGGAAAAG